CATTTTAGTAAGTTCAGAGCATCTGGAATTTCAGCATTTTGAATCTACTGATGAGAAAAATTGCTTATATTTACATTTCTTGTTTTTCATTTCTTTGTTAATATGTTCCACTATATATTACATCATATGCTGGCAAGGAAATATAAAACCAAGCTTTCAAACACTAATACTTATGTGGTCTTCCATTTATTCTGTCAATTCATACAAGAGACTTTTCAATTGGAAAATGTATCAAGCAATTATGAATAAATTATTTTTGTGTTTTAAGTATAGCACAAGTGAAGGAATTCAATTTAAAAATAAATTTGTGACAAACAGTAATTTTTGGAAATGTTTAAATAATGCTACTCTGGCATATTTGTAAGTTATGCCTCTTACTGTTATGTTTAACAATATAACCAGATATGATAGTCAAAATAGAAAAATAAAATAATTGTCATCATCTCAGAATCTGAGTCATAAATTTGATTTCTGTAACATAATCCTGAATAATACTAAGAGCAGAAATAAGAAGGAAGTGATTTAAGCTGAGATCAATGTGATAAATTACTGTCATAAAAAAAACTTTAGTGAAATGTTTATGAAGATTTTCAGGATCATCCATGCAATCTTTTCTCAGCAGCTGTTGGTAATTTATCTTTGTCAGGTATTGAGGATAGGATGAGAAATTGAAATGCATTTATAGTGTCTGAGAGAGCTTGTGTGATGCTTTGTTGCTTTCAGTGATTCAAGTCAGATAAAACTGTTTTGCAGTGTCACCTATTCTAATCAACAAGGGTGATTTTAATATTACTTTTCCAAATCAAACAATTCTTTATGATGAACCTATTATACTCCTTGTGCATTGATCAGTGTGTGTCTGTCTAAAACCTGATATAACATGGGTGTAGCAAGATCTACTTTAGGTACCCTCAACTGGAATCAAACATACCCAGTACAGTTACAGAACACCAAGACCCCAGATCAATATATAGAATCCCTACAGTTTGGAAACAGGCCCTTTGGCCCAACAAGTCCACACTGACCCTCAGAGCATCCCACCCAATCCTGTCTCCTATAACCCACCTAATCTACACATCCCTGTACTCTATGGGCAATTTAGCATGGCTAATCCACCTAACCTGCACATCTTTGGACTGTGGGAGGAAACCAGAGCACCTGGAGGGAACCCACGCAGATACGGGGAGAATGTGCAAACTCCACATGGACTGTCGCCCGAGGGTGGAATGAAATCCAGGTCCCTGGCGCTGTGAGGTAACAGTGCTAACCACTGAGCCACCATGCCACCCCTTCTTATACTCTCATATTGTTTTAGTATTAATCTCAAAAACCCATTATTGCAAGTAAGTTTTTTTGTTCCAATTTCCAAATCAGCTAGCCTAATGAATGAAGTTTATATATCTGAAAGCATTTAGAGAACCTTAAAGAGCATCTTAAGACTGAAGAGATAACATCATCCCTGTTCATCATTGAAGCATTAAATTAAGACACAACTAGTCATTATTGTCATTGGATGTGCTAGTTCTGTGGCATGTCATAGCTGTAGGTGTCCTTGTACGTGATTGGTTCTTTGCTGAACTTAGTAATGCCTTATTGTGAATATAGGTAGATCTGTCAGGTCCTGAAGAAATGATTGATGGCATATTGGCCCATGCAGTCAATCAGAATGTACTAACTATTGATCAATTTGGCACACATTGCCACTATTGGTATGCACGTAGCATACGAACTGTGACTCTGGTACATCTGATGAAAGCTCCCAATATTATGATTTCTTAAACATTCACATTGGAAGAACAGCCTCTGTATGTATCATTTGCAAAAGTGAAGCACGTTCTCCTCATTCCAATCTAGGGACTAGTCTCTATTGACAGGAGGGCTTCGATCACCTCTCTTGCAGCAAGATAATCTTCACATTCCAAATACTTGAGATATAGGAACTTTTGTTGGCAAATAATTGATGGCAAGATGGTGCTAGGGGTCAAAATAACTTAGCTATTAGAAAGATTCATGAAAATCTTAAATGTCAATTGCTTCTAGCAGGAAATAAAAACAAGAAAGATGCATAAAGATGGAGTTTAATTTGGATAAATGTGAGGTATTGCACTTTGGTAAAACAATCAAGGACAGTACTTGTTCAATTAAAAGTAAGGCCTTGGGTAGTGCTGAAGAACAGAGATGTTCAGGTCCATAATTCTTTGAAGTTTGTGTCATAAATAGACAGGGTGGTTAAGAAGGTGTTTATCATTCTTGCCTTCATTGCTCAGACCTTTGACTATAGGAGTTGTGACATTATGTTAAGGGTGTACTGGATGTTGGTGAGGTGTCTTCTAGAGTATTGTGTCCAGTTCTGGTTGCCCTGTTATAGGAACAATAATATTAAGTTGGAGAGGATTCAGAAGAGTTTTACCAGGATGTTGCCAGGAATGGAGGGTTTGAGTTAAGGGGAGAGGCTGGATAGGCTGGGATCTTTCTCATGGAGTGTAGGAAGTTGAGGGGTGACCTTATGGAGATTTATAAAATCGTGAAGGGTGCAGATAATGTGGGTGACTGGTGTCTTTTCCCTAGGGTGGGGGAGATTTCAAAACTAGGAGGCATATTCTTAAGGTGAGAGGAGAAAGTTTTAAAGAAGGCATGAGGGGCAATTTTTTTTAACACAGAGAGTAGTTTGTCTGTAGAATGAACTTTCAGGGGAAATAGTGGATGTGGTACAGTTACAACATCTAGCAGATATTTGGATAAGTGCTTGAATAAGAAATGTTTGGAGGGATATGGGCCAAGCGCAGGTAGGTGGGACTAGTTTAGTTTGGTATTATGGTCAGCATGGACTTGTTGGACTGAAAAGTCTGTTTCTGTGCTGTATTATTCTATGACTCACTGAATTACTGTTGCCTTAACTTTGTGATGTCCCTTCCATGATCTTTGATATCCTTATTGTTAGCAATCCCAGATGTCTTCATCATGTGATGTGATTTATGTCAGATATCCTGCAAATCAGAAAGGCTAAAAATGGCATCAAAGATTGCCAAGTCTCCAAATTAACATCTAAATAAAGTGCTTGCTGGTTTGACCCAAGTGTCTACCCATATCTGCTGCTGCCCATCACACTCTGTGAAAGTGGTGGCATTCCAGTAAGACATTTTGCAGCTGTCTGGCTCACTGTGTAGCAAAAGACAATGAGCAATGGAAAATCCAGGCCACTTGGTGAGGCTGCTAGTTTTCGTATTGTTGTGTAAAGTAACAAGCCCTCATGGGAGATGAGCCAAATACATTTTTCTTTGGAATCTTTGAAGGTAATAGATGAAGGAGAAAGACATACAACAGCAGGATGGGAAGGCTTCTATAAAGTATAAACACTGCATAGACCAGTTGGTATTATATTGGTTTTGTTTTATAGATTTGATGTAACCCTATGTAAATTGTGTGGGGTTTATTATATTCAGTGTTTTAGCATGTTGTACTTGTGGCACAGTGGTACTGTTCCTATCTCTGATTCAGGAGGTCTAGGTTCAAGTCCCACCTGCAGCAGAGGTCCGAACAGGCTGTTTAGAAAATATAATCACACAACAGATCCGGTCAAAATGAGATATTTTATTTTACTTAAGCCAGGCCTTTAAAGATGGTGTGGTTTCCCTTCTTTTCACCTGAGGAGTCAGTGGTGAATGCAATGCAACTGATAATGTCTGCTCCACAGCCAGTTAATGCTCCAAGGAGCTCTCTAGTTCCAGAACAACCAAAGTTTCAGAGACAGGGCTGGGTCCTGACACTAAGTGTCAAGAGTCCATAACCGTGTAAGTGTCAGAATGCCAGGACAGGGAAGGGAAGTAAACATTAGGGTTGTGTGGCTAGGGTGGTGTGTGGATGTTGGTAGACAGGCCAGAATGGGGAAAGATTATCCACAGGGGACGGACCTGCAGGAGGAAGTGTGACCAATGTTGGAAGACTGTTGATGGAGGCCCCCTACCCCTTCTCTCAGGTATGAGCAGCGTCCCTTTCTGGGAACCCTCCATGCTTGACTTTCTCCTAAAAATTAAGGTGGGGCCTGAAACAGCCCTTCAGTAGTCATTGCTTGGTCACTTAAAGGTCTCAATTAGGGCAAAAGCAATTGGATGGGCTGGCGTTATTTCAAAGTGAATGGAGTATAAAAATAGGGGGATCTTGTGAAAACTATACAAGGCACTGGTCAGATCACAGTTAGAATCCTATAAACAGTTTCGATCCCCTTATTGAGTGAAAGAGATACTGCTTTTGGATGTAGTCCTGAGAAGGTTCACAAGGTTGATTCTGAATATGGAATGAGTTTGTAATGAGGACAAGTTAGGTTGCTTGAGCCTAAAATCATTGGCATTTAGAAGAGTGAGAAGACAGCTATTGAAACACACAATATTCTTATGCAACTTCACAGGGTAAATGCAGAAAGTTTGCCTCCCTTTGTAGGAGACTCCAAGACTCCAGGACCGAGGCCATCATCTCAGAGTAAGGGATCACACATTTATGACAAAGATGTGGAATTTCTTTCTTTGAGATGATAGTGAATCTGTGAAATTTTGTTAATCACACAGAGTTATTGAGGCTGGGGTATTAATTGTAATTAAGGCTGAGATGGATTTTTAATCATTAAGGGGTTCAAGCATTATGGAGATAAGGCAGGAAAGTAGAGCAAGGATTATTGGATCAGCCATGATCTCATTGAATGCCATAGCAGACTCAATGGGCTGAATGACCTACTTCTGCTCTTACATCTCATGGCTTAGGTCTTTCTTGTGCCAATGTAAGATTGTGGAGAGGTTGGGGCAGGTGGCAGCCCAGTGGAAAGGTGACCGAGGGCTCTGAATACATGTGCAACTATAATACTGAATTCTTAATCACACTTTTAACACAAAATATATTTACATTTATATTCATGGGCAACATTTTATGTAGTGCATTAAACATTTCCCTAATAATTTTACAGTTGAAGTAAGCCATGAATTGATTTATACCTTGTTATAATTTTACAGAATTCCCTGTTGTTTCGCTTGAGTCTGCTGAAAGACCCAATTACTTCATACATGTTGGTGAAGATGACAATCTTCGCTTAGAGAAATGGGAAGACAATCAACGTTTCCATAAGGATGCTTCATTTATCCATCACAAAAGCAACTGGATCTCAGGCTATAGTACATTTGAACTCTACAGCAGGAAGGGCTATTTTATCACTCTGACACCATCAGCTGTGAAAACAGCCCAGTATGATTATTCTGAATCATTTAAACTTTCAAGCAGCTTTAGAATTGAAGGTAAGAGACCAAAGGTGTATTTGATTCACTGCATCTGAACAAAAACACTTGCAAGATTTTAAAGAAATAGCCATGTCTATGGAAGACATTCTGAAGATTTTTTTAACAGGGTTTTGCATCCTTGGAGCCATGTGTTTACAGAGGACCCTAGAGAATATTCCTGGGGATTGGGACCATATGTGGGCCCTGAACCTGATGGTATCTAAGGTTTACCAGGCTGTGAGATTGTCCCAGAGCTAACCAAGGTAAGGGCTGCTTTGGAAGGTCCATCCACTTAGAAATGACAGGCAGGCTGCATAGGTAGTGGACAAATAAGAGCACCTGAGGTTTTAAACTGCCCCAAATAGAGAGATGGGCACTGCCAATGTCAGTAGGTGTTTCCCTTCACAAGATGGTCTGTGACTGCGTAAGTAAGGCATGGCACCTGCATGTTTGGTGAAAGGTGGGGTGATCTTACTGGCCTCCTGCTGCCTCCAGGCTGGGCTTCAGGCAGAACCAGGCAGATCCTAGCAACATCACCAATTTTCCCTTGAGTGGGCACTTTTAGGTGTGGTCTTGATATGGGATAAAATTCATTAAGACCGAGGGCTTGATGGTTGAGTGTAAAGTGACTTTGGTGTTTTCTATATCCGTGTATAAATGACACCCATTTATGTGACCGTTTAAGCCCACGTACCTATTTGCATCAAGCTTCCAGCTGTGTGTAAGCACAAATGCTAAGGGAATCCCCAGTTTTGTGGTTTATTGAAACGTAGAAGAGACATTAACAATCAGTAGATATTACGTACAATTTTTGAACAAATTTAGCAATGTATATTGTACGGCCAGTTTCACTAGGCTTTACCAATTCATAGTATTTCAAGGCAACACAAAAAATAATTCTTATATAGTACAGACCTGAGTATTGCTGTTATATTAACAACCACTTTAAGACTATCAATATCACAATATAACTTAATAAAAACCGAAAGAACTGCATATGCCGCAATTCAGGATCAAAAACAGAAGTTGCTGGAAAAGCTTAGCAGGTCTGGCAGCATCTATGAAGAAAAAAATCAGAGCTAATGTTTCGGGTTCGGTGACCCTTCCTCAAAACATAGCTTGATCACAAAATAGCTTGCTGACTCTTGCTAAAGCTACATAATGTCAGTAGCAGCCTGCAGACCAAAAACATGTTTAAGTATTGTGTCCCTTTTGAATTAATCAGTAGTTTCCAGATAAATTTTTCATGATAACACCTTGATCCATCCCTTTTCTCTGATTGCTCCTGTTTGGAATTTGGCATTCCTGCTTTTGCCCTGAAGAGTGCAAGACCAAACCTTTCAACACCATATCACTTTTTCTCAGCAATACTCAACGATTTATGCAATTATGCCATAACAAAAATTCAGCTAAAAACATCCATCTTTTCTACAGGCCAGAATTCTGAGTTCAAAGATTTGTGTCAATCAGTGTTTGATGAATTGTTTGGCCACAGAAATATCAAAACAGAGTCTAATTCTTGCTGGGTGACTGCACTTGCAAACTTTACAGCAGTTATTAATAGATTGTGATCAGAAACTGGAGGAGGAAGACTGAAACCAATTGTAGCGACTCCCACTGTTGCATAGTTGATATCAGCTAACTTGGCATTGATCAGCGATACAACCTTAAACTCTCTTGACTGCCCATCTCAGTATCACAACAAATTACATATTTAAGTACTGAGGCAGTTCTTGAATGTCACAAGATAAAAATATGAATGAATAAGCATATGCTACTGACAGAAAATACTTCATTTATTAGATTAAAATTTAACATTCAATATGTAGAGTTAATTTAACTGTAATTAACTGTTGATTAGTGCTGTTGGCTATAGAGAAATCATACCAAATGTACCTTAAGCAATTTCTAACAAAATATGTGAATTTTATCTGGAAAAGTACTTGTGAAATGTGTAATGATATATTTTTAGTGACTACAGAAGTTGAAAAATAAAATCCTCCAACTCATTGTAGGCTATTAATGTTCATTATATTAACTTTTCATCTTTAAAAATATCAATAAACATTTTTACTTAATACAGTACTATATTCCAAATCTGTGCACTGGTATGTGTTTAGTATTGTAGTGTTACTGCTAGTTGATTGCTTTGATCAGCACTTCCAGAGCATCCTGCAAAGTTCCTGTTTAATTTTTCTTATTGAATTGAAGTCTATTATTTTCATCAAATCTTTGTCTGTTTTAAATGCCAAAAGAGAGTACCACATTTTTTTTTTAAATTTCACATTCTTTAGCATTTGTTTGTAAGTTGATCCAGCCTTCAGCATATTACTTGCTAACTTATAATTTACATGTTGCAAAAATAGATTTCAGGTGAGAGACAGAAAATTGCATGAATTAGTTGTCATTAGGACTTAACAATGGCAAAGGTTAAAGTCCCAGATCATGACATTTCTTTTCCGTGACCTTGGATGCCATAGACATTCCTAACATTCTGATCTATATATATGTTTTGAAGGGAGAGGAACCTGTATGTTTTAATTGTTGTTTACCAAAAAAAACCAAAACTAATGTACATGCCATTTCAACTGATGTCTCTGAGTATTCTTGTCAATGTATGACCTCTTCAAATGGCAATTACTTTCCATTTCCTGGGAATGGAGAGGTTGTTACCCTTGTTCTCCTTTGACCAACTTATAGTATTAGAATTTAATCCGACATGAAGTGTAATAAACACTGTAAAGCAATTACTGGCATTAGCATCTAGTAATTAGATATTGCCATATAAAATAATGTGTTTCCTTATTGTGAAAATTTAATTGGGCAATGGAGTGTGTGCATTTTCAATGGCAACTAAATAATCCTGAAGTGTTGGAATGTAATAGGAGATGCATTACGTGCCAGAGATATTGTGCTGAAACTAAAACTGGTAAAACAGAGCCAACCGAAAACTGTTGGAACAATGCTCTCTTCAAGGCCATTTTGCTGCATAGATTTAGCCCTTGAATTTTACTCATGACCCTCTGCATATAAAGAGTCAGCTAATACTCTAAAGGGGAAAAGGTTGTGCTGTTCACGGAAGTTGCCTGTAACCATATCTTCTCACTGGCACAGCTGTCTACATAGTTGGATAAGGGAAATATATCACTGTCCCTGATTCAGAAAGTGCAAAATTTACCACTAATAAAATCAAGTAACGCTGGTAGTTTGGTTTACTGAACAATTTTATTTTGTTATCTTCTGAGCTTTTGCTATTTGCGCAATGTTGCATTTCCAAAATGATCAAAAAGTACGTTTCAGTGAAATGCACTTACTCATCTGTAGAACAGATTAGAATGAGGACAGATAATTAACCAGGCAGTTGATATTGTGCAATTCACTTGGGTTTCTAATCTTAAGAAGATTTTAAAAAAAACTTCTATTTATGAAGGCAAGAATACTTTAGAATAAGATTTCATATGTGTGCTTTTAATTGGTACCATAATGCAGTTCATATATGGAGAAGAGGCATTAACTTTAACCAATATTGATCACACATTAGATTCAAAGATTATGCATGAACTCCTGAGTATTGTAACAACTGTGTGGCAACAGAAGTACTAATGGCAGTTTCCAAAGTATCACATTACCTCTACTCTTGCCCTTTTGCTGTTCATAGTGTGTTACTGGCAATAAAAAATGTTCTTGAGGTCACCTGCAGACAGATTTAATTCCTGACTTCAACAGCTGAAGGAACAAATGCATTTAGGTCCTTCAGTCTTTTTTTTCATGTATGTCATATTAAATCTTTTATTGAAGCAACATTTTTCATTAGACTGAAAATTGTGAATTCAGATTTTCTTGTTTATTTTGATATTGTTAACACACCTAGAGCACTACATTACATATGAAGGAGCTGAGGAAGTAATTGGAGCAGTCTTGCTCATAGATATAACAACCAGGCATACAATGAGATTATATAAGTCCATAGATGGCGCGCTAAAAAGGAAGGAGGATATGAAGAGTGTGCCCATTGCATTTCCACTGCAATTTTACTAACAGAGCGAAGGGCAGCAGCTTGTTTATCCACTGACCAGAGGTGGGCATCCACTGAAGCTAATTAAAGGGGCTAATTCAAGCCATTGTCCCAGGTGTAAAGCATTTTGCCAGCAGTGGAGCATCCCTCTGCCACTTAGGGAGGTCACCAGCTGCACGGAAGCAATCTCCCAACAGTTTCCTGTGTTGAGATTGGGGCTCAGTAATGATCATATTCAGAGGGTTGTGGTCCAACGAGGGGAGGTCTCCAGTGGCAAGATTGTTACTGTGTACCTGGATGATTCCCAAACATTTCACTTTGCATCAAATAAGGCCACCCTTCAGGACTAGCAAGTCTGCAAAAACTTTGCTGAGACAGAAAAGCTGCCAATACTCGGATGGTATTGGCCACATGAAGAGCTAGCCTGCCATCCTTAACTGGATGACATGCCTGGTGATAGCCTCTTAACTGGGGACTGCTGGGAAGAGGAAACATCTTTTCACACTCACCCCATCAAGGGGATTCAGGATCACAAACACTTCAACAAGTCACCCCTCACTCTTCTAAATTCCAATGGAAACAGCTCCAGCATGCCCAACGCACTCATTTTATGCATCATTCTAGTGAATCTCTTCTGGACTGGCTCCTAACATATTTACCTCCCTCTTTAGACAAGGAGACTAAAACTGCACATAGTTTTGAGATATGGTCTTGTTAATCCCCTGTATAACTGATGCATAACATCCTTACTTTTGAGGTAAATTTTTCTTCTAATAAAGGATATCTTCCCATCGATTTTCTTGGTGATGTGCTGCATCTGCGTACTAACGTTTTGTGATTCATCCACAAAAATACCTAGATCCCTCTGCACCTCAGAATTTTGTAGTTGTTTTCTGTTTAAATAAGACTTTCTTTTTCAATCTTCCTATCAAAGTGAACAACCACATGTTCTTCCACATTATATATACTGCATGAGCCAAATTTTTGCCCAGTCACTAAACCTGTCTATCCTTCTGCAACCTCCTTATGTCTTCACAGCATACTGTTCTACCTATCTTTGTGATATCTGCCAGTTTGACTATAGAACCTTCACTTGTAATTTTTAAGTCATTAATGTAAGTTGTAAAAAGTTGAGACCCCTACCCAAGTCCCCATGGGGCTCCAATCATTACATCAAACAGTCAAAAGATGTATTGATGCAAGCTATGTTTTTTCCCAGTTAGCCAATCTTCTCTCCATGCTAATATGTTAACCCCCAACCCATGTACTTTTATTTTCAGCAATAACTTTTGATAGGACACCTTATAAATACCTTTTGAAAATCCAAGTGCATTATGTCTACAGGCTCCCTTTATCTACAACAAATAACTCCTCCAAAGAATTCTAATAAATTAGGTAAACATGAATTCCCTTTGACAAAATCATTCTGACCCCTCCCAATTATTTTGAGATTTTTTTAATTACCCAGCAATAATCTCTTTAATGATTGATTCTAAGCACACATGAATTCCCAATTAATGCCCACCACTTATTCAATTACACGGGTAATGCATTTATTGACTTCCTCTGTGATGATACCTTTGTTTTTTATGACACATACCTAACCAATTGTAATTTTAGAAGTCAGGCAATGTTTCCTGTTCCCATTTACACAGTTTTATTCCTAGAACCTCCAAAATCCATCCTTGGGCCTCTTGTTTTCTTTGTTTACATACTTGTTGGGTAATATTACCTTCTTATTTATACCCTCTCTTCCCCACTTCCCAGTCTTTTAAAACCACATCTAATGAAGATTTTAATCAATCTGACTTAATACCTTCTCCTTTAGCTTATCATTCATTTTGTTTTAGTTTTATTGATTCTCTGAAACACTTTGGGATTTCTTACAACTTAAGGCACATTATGGGTTGAACTTACTGGTTGCAGAAGTGGCCCAATACATGGGGGAGTTGCGATGGGAGCAGCCCTGTTCCAGACATCTTTGGAAGTTCGATTTTGCTTCCTTGGCATCTCTCTGCCATCAGGCATCAGCCTTCCGTTGGGAATTCTGTTGCTTCAAGGAGTAGTAACCACTGCTTGAACCTTGATTCAGACCAACCATTATGGAAGAATGCACAGAATTTGTGGGGTTTATCTGGGCCAGTCAGGCAGAACACAGCAAGGGTGGGAAGGGGAGGCATTGTTGTTGGGGGGAAGGGAGGAGTTCTCATCAATGGGACCAGCTCTTGTCTCTGGTGAAGCCTCACATCCCCAAACCCACAGGGAGGCCACCAGCTTTTAAAAGCCAGCCTGCTCATATGGCATACGGCCCGCTCACCACTGGTAGAATATTAATGGTGAAGGGATAGGTGGAATTTTCCACTTTGATGCCTTTTCCTGCAGGTAGGAAGATGGTCCTTGACTTTTTCTGCACTGATTTGTTTTTTGCAGCATTCTAGGGAGATGAAGGGCATTATTCCCCCCACCTTTTCCTCCAATTATAGAGTGCCCCTCCAACACCCACACACACTACTTTACAGCCTATTCCCAATTAAGGATAGGGTTAAATTCTGCCCTATAATTGTAATTTGTTATACTTGGTGAACTTGTGAACCTGGCAGTTGTATTCATTTTTGACGTCCAACTTAGAGGACATTCTTCAACCAAGGTGAGCTCTCTCACTCTTTCTGAATTACATTGTAGTCCCCAGATTAGACACTTGGCTGTAAATATGTTTTTGAAGGAGTCCTTCCTATCAACCCACTAGCCTCAGGAGTCCATATGCTGTCCTTAATTAAATGGTTGGCATGTCTGACACTGATTGGATATAATGAGATGTCAGGTTCTGAATATCCATTAAAAATTCAGGTCCCTGGATGCTTAGGAGATAGGACCTTTGAGAAATCTAGTGAGTAACATAATTATACCATCGTATTTCTTTTAAAACATAAGACCATGCATGAGGAAAGATAAAACGACCACCTTCCGACTCAATCCTACTTGTTGCTTATCAGGCACAGAACTGGTTTTTCTTTATATTACTCAATACACCACCCTGTCTGCTGCTTTCAAATCTCTGTTCCAGATTACTAGGGTATTTCCAGTGACTGCATTTTAACAAAGCATGAGAGAAAAGTATATTATTTTCCAGCAATTTATTTTGCATGAAGTAAAAAGTCATTGGGTAGCTTCTTAGATTTTTAAAATATTAAACAAAACCAGGTTTATGCAATATATTTTATCATTTTCTTTCAGAAAGCAGCATGGTTATACCATACAGAATAACGTGTGAATATAGATATGAGGCCTGCGCCAGTCCTTGCGTCAAAACATGCAGTGACCCTCATGCAATAGCCTGCAAGTTTTTGTCACCGTAAGTGTCTGTGGATTTCATACATGTAAAAAAAGTAGGAGTTAATAATTTTTATTTGTTCTTACATAATTGAATATAATATAAAACACAGCCTTTATTTTGTTTATTGATATATTTATATCTGCAGGTTATTTTGAAAACATAACCTGTATTCCATGATCCATGTTTCAATAATCAGAGTAACAGAGAGCATCCTTTATGAGCAGGATTGTGACTCCCACATGTTATGATACTTCTTGGTGTCAAGGCAGGGGCCATCACAAATGGAATGGAGAGAGAAGGGGAGGATTCAACCATTGTGGCCCAAATTGGGATCAACAACAGAGGAACAACAGGGAGTCCTGCTTTAGGTAGTTCTAGGACTCTGAATTAAAGAACTGGAAACCAAGGATTGTAATCTCTGGATTATTACCCAAGCCATGCAGAAATTGTCATTAGGATAAACAGATTAAGGAGGTGGCCACCCATGACTGAACGGAGTGTGGGAAAGTGGGGTTCCATTTCATGAAAAGCTGGTTAGCAGTATGTGACCTGTACCATTGGGATAGGTTCTACCCGAACCTGGTAAGTAAGGTAGCCTGAAGGACTTTAAAAGGTAGTCATGATGTGAAGGTGCTGGTATTGGACTGGGTGGACAAAGTCAGAATTTATACAGTATCAGGTTATAGTCCAATGGGTTTAGTCAAAATCACAAACTTTCGCAGGACTGCTCCTTTGTCAAGTGAAGTGGAAGGAAGCGCACAGGCACAGAACTCATAGGCAGAGAGATAATTCCAGGTAATTAAGAGTGTCAAAAGATAGTACAAAAATGGTATGAGTGGAGTGTCAGCAGGCTGAATAACAACTTTTTGCAGGTGATCAAAAATGTCAAACGGTGTGAGTAAAGTGTCAACAGCTGAATAGCAAGTGAAAGGATGAAGTATGATCCGATTAATTAAGGCAGAGAGAGATAATTTTTTTAAAAATCAAAAATAAGATGGTGTTAGAGACAAACCAAATGGCTGGAATAACATGATAGGTATAAGACTCGTATGCTGGGTATCTAACCAAAGTTACAAGTGATCCAAAACTGTACAAACTAATAAAGGTGGAGAGATCATAACAAGTTATCAAGGTGATGGTGTCAAAACAGAATAGTAAGGAAGACTTTACAAACACATAACACTGATTACTTGTTACTTTGGTTATACCTAGCATGTTATTTGTTATCACACAGGTGTGTCTGACAGTTATGATCACCTGCAAAGTCAGCCTATTGACACTCCACTCACACCATTTGTACTATCTTTTGACACTCTTAATTACTTGGAATTATCTTACAGTTATCTATCCACCTATAAATTCTGTGCCTGCATGCTTCCCTCCACTTCACCTGACAATGGAGCAGCGCTCAAAAAGCTTGTGATTTCAGATGAACCCCCATTGGTGTAGTGTGACTTATGACTTTTAAAGGTGTGATGAGGAATGTGGGAAAGGGTGGTGCAAAACATAGTTCTAAAAAGAAAGGGCAGAGTCCTCCTTATTTTCAAAGATGTACTGTGTCCTGCCACTCCTCTAACTCCGTAAACCATTCTAGACCAACAAACCTAACCTGTCTAGTCCTGTTAGAACTTTATAGGTTTCTATGAGATCATGCCTCATTCTTCTAAAATCCAGCAAATACAATCCTAGCCACTCAATCTCTCCTCATATGTCAGTCCTGCCAGCCCAGGAATCAATTTGGAATTTTAATGGACCTCTAATTCTAGCCCAATGAGCATCTGCACCATTGGCAGCCGTGCCTTCACCTGCCAAAGCCTCAAACTCTGCAATTCCCTCCATAATCTTTATCGCCCCTCTACCTCTTTTTCATTGTTTAAGACACTTCTTGAAACCAATGTCTTTGACCAAGCTTTTAATCATCTGTTCTTGTATTTCCTGATGTGGCTTGGTGTTGAATTTTGTTTGGTAACGCTCCTGTGAAATGCACTGGGGAATTTTTACTGTATTGAAATGCTGTACAAAAACACGAATTGTTTCAGGCCCAATAGTACAGTACAGTAAAATAGATGAAAGATATAAAGTAATTAAAACAATAGAGAGAAACATATGAGTAAAACATTAGAGGAGAAAGGCAGGGTAGGATGTGTGGCCCAAATAATTGTGCTTTATACAGAGAAATTCACCTTGGGGCCAATAACATTGTAGCAACTACCACAACATGTTGCAGGATGGTGATCAAGTGGAAATCAAATAATCAGATAATAAACTTACAGGAGAGATGTGGAATATGGTAGGCGTAGAGTAGTCTTGCTGGGAGATGTGGAAAGGAAATTTTGTTTGGGTGTGGAGAAGGGACTTCATATGCGAATTACAACACATTCATTTTTTTTTGGCCAGAATTCTTCCCTCTGCATTTCTTAACCTGTATCATTTTTACTTGACATTTTTGCAGGTTGGGAATGCTTTCTGTACAAAACATGTATCCACTCATTTAATAGGGCTATGAAAATCACATTCCAGAAGTCCTACTCTTTTCATTGGTACCTCTGTTTTTTTGCAACTGAACAAAACTATGTCTCTTCTGTTGGGTCACAAAGAAATTCACCAGGATAGGAGGAATAAAGCATAGAAAATTTCCATTTTGTTTTTGCCATTTTGCCATTTTGTTTAAACTACCAAACGCTGCCTGATAGCAAATTGCATGTCTGGCCGGGATGAGGTCATGGAAGTAGATTCCCTTAAAGCAACACCCAGTACTTCTGAATATCAGCACAAAGAAGCCCTCTGCCTTTAAGATCAGCCTCAGTATTAAGAGAAGTACTTTTAAAATGAGCAATCTAGAATGATAGCAGTCCCATCACACCTGCTGTATACAAAGGCACAAGTAGAGTAGCAGCAGCAAAGGCAAGTTGAAATGTTGCGCTTGCCATATACTTGGCTGTAAGACAGAGGAGTACCATGATTGCCAAGTACTTGCAAGAAGGAGATGTAGAATACTGAGGAACTGCCCACCTAAAAGGCTGTTTGAGAGCAGGGTAATCTATCTCAAAATGCCTGAGATACAATGTTGGATTAGGATGTGTTTATCCTGACAGGTGGTGAGTGGACTTTGCATCCTTGCCTGAGAAGACTCCGGCCAAGGGGAAATCAGAGGAATTATGCTCCTGGTGACCTCGAGGTGACCATGAGCCTCAATTTCTTCATGATTGGTTCTCTCCAAAGCTTTGCATGTGACCTCTGTGAGATCTCACAGTCCAAAGCTCAGAGGCACATCCAGCGGTTAACAAATACCCTTTTCTGCCAGAGTGGGCTACTTCATCTCTTTCAACACAGATGTTGCCACCCAGACATAGAGGTGACTCATTTCAAAGATACCTCCATAACATCGTTGTCTGCATGTTTGTGGCAATAGAGCAACCCACTGAATGCTGTGAGGCAAATCAACCACAAGAACTGTCACTCCAGGAACATGGAACCCCTCTGTGATCACCACAAAAGATTTTTATTTGTCTGCATCGGCTTCACTACCTTTCTAGTTGGGAAGTTGTGCGTCATCATGCAAGGCATTGGTGAGACCACATCTGGAGTACTGTGTACAGTTCTGGTCACCATGTTTGAGGAAGGATATCAATTCATTGGAACAACTGAGAGAGATTTTATCAGACTAATATCTGGAATGTCTTATGAGGAAAGGTTGGACAGGTTAGGTCTGTATCTGCTGGATATAAAAGAGTGAGAGGTGACTTAGCTGAAGCATACAAGATCCCGAGAGGTGTGATAATCTAGATGTGGAGAGGATATTTTCTCATATGGGAGAATTTAGAAGTGGAGGTTACTGTTTAAAAGTAAGGAGTCTCCAATTTAAAATTGACATGAGGCCAAATGTTTCCTCACAGAGGACATTGAGTTTCTGCCTGAAAAGACGGTGGTAGAGGATTATTTGTGTGTTTTAGGGCAAAAGTGAATAATTTGTTGCTAAATGGGGTGGGTGACGTGAACAGGTTAACAACAGTAGGCATTAGAATGTGAACTTGTGGCTACAATAAAATCAGCCATTGTTGAATGGCATAGTAGGTTCAAGGGGTTGAATAACCTTCTTCTACTCCTTTATTTTATGTTTCTATTAATGCTCGGACTTGGCGCAATGTTTTCAACTCTTTGCCACTTCTACATAGTGCTCCCTTGTTCCCACAGAGGAAGTGGAGGCAGGCTCATGTCTCTGACTTTATGACTGTCAAGGTTGTGGAAGTTGGCCTTGTACTGGAACTCCCCTCATTAGAACATGACTAGCAGATGGAGCTCCTGTTTGTTGTGCTAAGGAATCAGAAGGTCCACCAGCTCCCACATGGTGCAGTTACAACAAATCACCTGGCCAGGCATCTCTGTTTTAATTGCTTAATTCTTAATTTGGTTTTCAAAAAATATTTTGTACTGGTCTTTTAGTTTGTAATCAGTAAATATTTCCCCAATTTGCCTTCAATTTGGAAGTAACTTATAATGGATAGTCAAATTAGTGGCTATCACCAATCAATGAACTTACAGTTTACCTGTAATGGCACTCTTTCGTGCTGGGACCCTGATCTTAAACTTCAATTTAAACTGTTAAAAAAAACCTTACAGACTATGAGTCAAAAAAGCAAACGAAAAGCACATCTTTCCCTTTGCACCAAATCCCCATGTGCCTTCATATTTCCTGAAATGTATACTCGCTCAGGCTGTGTCTCACTCCGGATGTGATCCCTCCTTCCTGACCGTGCAAACCTTCCTCTCTTCAAGTCCTTGTTTTGCTTGGGCCTTTCCAATTTCTGAGTAGTGAGCCAGGATTATCTGTTTATACTGATCTTTGTTACCTTACCAGTAGATGGCTCACTACCCATGGAGCTATTGATCTAGCAGACTAGCGAAAGCCAGAGGAGCATTCATAGTCTAGTCTAAATGAAGAAATGGATCCACTGTATTGCTGTATATTTGAATGTAAATCTGATTGTCCAACATTCTCCTGATTAATTATAAATATTAGTTTAAAGTAATCATATCATAATCATATCACTAAATATCATCAAGACAAATGTGGGGTGTTCTGAGAGAACAAGGTGTAGAGCTGGATGAACACAGCAGTTCCTACTATCTCTGTTCTGAGAGAACTCTGTTGTAGCTCTGTCTATGGCTTGTGCTCCTCCCATAAACTCAAGCCTGCATGGCTGTCCCTTCATAGATTCTATGCACTCTGTTTGGTCGGGCGTTGGCTGTTGGTACTACAGTCAGAACAGCTCAACTATCTTGCTAGACATACATTTATACTGAATACAGCTCTCCAGTACAGTATAATTTGGCATGGACAATGTATTATTGGGGGTGAATTGAGCTTTTCACATGATCAATTGACCATTTGTTATTAATTGCATATTAGTTACAAATGATGGTTGGGTTTTGATTTTGGCATTTGCCACCCTAGTCACCCTTAGTCCAAAAACATACCCAATGGGGAATTGTAATATCCAGCTCATTGTCTCTCTGTCAGATTTCTCTGCTGTCAGATCTGCAGAATCCAGCACTTTCATCTTTTTATTTTAAGCTAAGTATTGAATTTTTCATCTTATTTTTTCATGTTAATAAATAAGAATAATAATTAATTGAGTCTTTACATTAGGAGTGGAGGATAGCACAGGTTGTTAGGGAATCAGGGCGATGCATGACTTCAGTGTGAATTTCCAGTCTTATCATTGCTTACATGCGAAGTTATTGAGCTGAAATAAAGCAGTGTGTTATAACTGGAGAAAATACCTTCCTTGGGTCAGATTGAAATCTGAGAGTTGTGTTTTTCTGAACCAAACCCACCAATCTCCAGCTTTAACTGAGTTTGGAAGGAGGGCAAGAAATCAACCATAACCAAGGACGCAGTCTGAAATTTTAAAATAAGATGATGATGAGACCGCATACCTCAATGTTATTCTGGTGTTAACATCAACTGTTATCTTTCATGCAGGCACTTGATTGATTTAGAAGTTGCATGCCTTCACCTTTACTTCCTGGATATATGCAACTGTTTGAGGCTCATCCTCAAATCAAGTGCCTGTCTATGACCTTCTCAGTGAGGCTTCCAGTCCCACCATGAAGCCTCTGATTCCCTAGATCCAATCTCTGAGCTCCATCAGACCTATTGCTGATGCATTTGACACCTTTAGGATTGCAAACGAGATCTCCAAACTGGCACAGCAAGCCAGGTTGTCTTCCCTCCTCCCCATTAAATCCCCCTCCAATTACCTCCCCAGTTCAATTGGTCACTTTTTCTCCATTCCTCTCATTCCCTAGTGGTCAAATCTCCCAATTACCTTACAACTGAATTACCTCTCAATTCCCTTTCCACATCCCATCCAATCCTGATGGACCCAATCTGCATCTGGAACCAGTCACTGACTGGGAATCCCAGATTGTGGACATCCCCTACACCTTTCTGGTCAACCTGCTTTCTGTGGGTCAAGGAATGCAAAAAAGCCTTCCAAAGATATCCCCCCCACAGTGGAAGAGAAGATCACCCGGTAATTGGAGGACGCTTATAAACAGGTTACCCAGCTGCAGACTCAGCCAGAGTTGCTGCATGGTTTATAGCTACTATATAAACTGCAGATAGAACATAAAGAGCTATTCTGTTTTTTTCATGCAGGGTCGAAGGATGTTTAGTACATTGCCCAAAGAACATGCTTCTTGATGAAGCCACCCACAGATGTGTTCACCTGGAGGACTGTAAGTGTCTCAGTTTGTTTACTTTCATGGTTTTGCGCACTTTGTTTTATGTTATGACGTTGAGACACAAAAGATCCAGAGAAGAACAGCAATAATTTAGCACTTCTAGATCAGTTAATTTTAATTCAACATTAGTGCCCTGAAAATTTTAGGCTGACGTTGCCCTCCACATTCACAGTGCCTTTGATTTGAGTACAGATTACTAAACTAGTCGTTACTTTTTTCTTCTATTGTTATACTAAGGATAATAATCAGCAAAATAAATTTGGAAATATCAAATAATGAAGATGAAGTCAAATCAAATTAACTATGTTTTGAAAACTTAATACTGTCCTGTGAATATATTATGACACACTAATTTACGGAGTTCAGCAAAAAGTGATTACATCCAAAAGGACACATTTAGTCAGAAACAAAAACAGAAATTGCTGGGGATCAGTTCTGAAGAAGGGTCACTGGACCCAACACGTTAACTCTGTTTTCTCTCCACAGATGCTGCCAGACCTGCTACATTTTCCAGCAATTTCTATTTTTGTTTCTAATTTCCAGCATCTGTGGTTCTTTGTTTTTTTTTTGACGCATTTAGTGAGTCAGCCTAAGAGAATGTTCTCAAGAGTTTTTGACTGGTTTATGGGAAATAACTGTAGTATGTAACCTAAAGGCAAAATACAAAATCTGAATCAAATGCAGAGAATGATGGAGAAAATCAGCAGGTCTGGTAGAATCTGTGGAGAGAGAAACAGAGTTAATGTTTTGAGTCCTGTATGATTTCTTCATAACAGAGTAATACCTGACTCAATGTTTCTCTCTTCACAGGTGCTGCCAAACATGTTAAGTTTCTCCAGCATTCTCAGTTATTGTTATTGTACTTAGCTTCTTGTTTTAATGATGTGTTAAAGGAAACATGTCAATTTCAATAGAAGCAACGGAAAAAGACAATGTTCATGGGTTGAGCTTGAAGAATTTGCATCTGTGAATGATATATTAATTGTTTAATTTTTTAACAGGCATTAATGTCACTGCAACAGATTTGCCTTTTCTATTGCCAACTACAACATCTGCTACGACAGAGAGAACATACAGTTCACCCACAACGTTATTGTCTTCAACAGTAGGACAGACAACAACTGCCATTACAGACCAATATACAAGTATATCAACTCCACTGACAACAGTTCCAGTCACAACGACATCCCCTGTAACCATTTCTACATCAGCTTATACAACATCTTCTACATCTACAGAACCTTCACTTCTAAGTTCCACAACGACTACCTCAACTTCTGTTGAGAGTTCCAGAACAACAAGTACTACAGCAGCAGTTACAAGTCAATCTAGAACTCCCATTCATACTATGGAAAAAATACTGTCTTCCACTTTAAGTAGTACTTTTTTAACCACTACTCCTCGCACCATATCTGATGGGATTAGTTTCTCAGCACATGGTACAGCATCTGCATCTCAGCCAGCAATATCAGCAACTCAATACAGTACAAAAATCACAACACTGCAACCAACAACTGTGGGGAAGACTGAAATATCTACAGAAGAGGTCACCAGGCGCTCTGTTACACCACTTACGACAACCAGTGCTACATTGCCTCCAGAGTTAAGTGTCGGAACTGGGGCAGCACAAAGCATGCAATCAACAGCAGTGATTTCCCCAGTTACTGTCTCATCTACACATGCTGAGGAGAAAACTATATCAGAAGCATCCTCCGTGCCACAGACTTCTCCATCTAATCTGACGTCACCTACTTCAGCAGCTACAATGAGTTTACAACCAGAAACTGCAGTTTCATTTGGTATCTCAACTGCACCCTCTTATTCTCAAACTGCAGCTCCATCAGTGACACCACCACAATGCATAGTAGGAGCAATTTAACCTTTTTATTCCTCCTTTTAACAGAATGTGCAAAACGGCATATAAAAATTCTAGATTTCTGTAAATACTGAAATTGAAAAAAAATGGTTGAGCTTGTAATTTCATGTTAGAAGCTCAATAATAGGTTATGTAGTTTGACCTATTCTCTTCTACACTTACTAAGAAAACAAGCTTTATGTTTTCACCTGTCACTGTTTCCTTTATTATTCCACTCTGCCCCTTGACTCATGCTCCTCCAAACTACTTATCCATCATTAAACTTCTTGTTTTATGATCAAGAAGATCATTGAATATCCAAGGTTATGACTGTTTTTGACTTCTGCAATGGAGAATATTTCCCTGTCAATTTTCAGCTAGCTTAACTCAGGTGCTCCAGCAATGCATGATACTCCACCTAATAGCCTGAATGGAAGCAGATCACTTAATCAGGCAGGCAAATTTGAAGTCAGTCTGTGATATTTTAGTTAGAAAGCCCAGATCCCAAATGCTGCTATTTGGAAGGTTCCAATCTAATGTTTCTCTTGGAAGAGAGATAGCTGCACTAATTGAGGTAACTGATGAAGTAAAGTTCTAACTTGAATAATGTAATAAATTGCTACAAATAGAAACGTATGTCATTTATTTATTCAAAAGCATCAACCTTGTTTTGTAACTATCTTAAGCGGAGACTTTCTTATTTGATGGTTTTGGATGTAATTCAAAATATACAATTCAGATCATCAGTTTTATCCATTCATTCAGGAGGTAGAAAAACTTAAATCAATGCAATGAATGAGACTGGGAATTTAATCAAGAATAACAGTGTTCTGACCAGAACTAAATGAATATCACTGGACCTCCCACCCTTAGGGAAATTATTGATTGAGGTGAATTTTGATGACCTTGACTTTTGATGTCAATGATTCCGATGTAAATTATACAACCTTAATGCAAACAATATCATAATATATTCTTTTTTTGGGCAAAAACATACTAATTACAATGAACAGTTAGAAAACACTAATGTGGGATTTTTTATTTGAAGATATGACTATTTACGAATAAAGTTCACAGGAGCTAAGTCTAGGACATCTTACTCCAAACACCGCTGCTTCAGACTGCTAAAATAGTCATGGGGCTAATGCATGATATTCTGTTTAATTCGTTGATCAATGACAGTAGTTTAAGATATGCATAAAGGTACACGTCATGATAACAACATCCAACATCCTTGTACTGCAGTCGCTTAATGGCAACAATCTCATTTGTGTGTTTTTCTTAATAAAAAATTATCATGTTTCTCAGAAGTCTAACTGCTACCTTTTATCTACAGTCTATCTTTGCTTGTTAACATTCTTTGTCTCATGATTCTGATCTCAGCTAGAAATTTCCTATCTTCTCAACTAAAGGCATCTCCAAATGCCTCTTTTATTCATTAAAGCTTTCTTGAAACATACTTTTTCTCCTAAATAACCCTTAGTTGAAGTCTAGGTGACAGAAGAGGGATCCCAATTCTTCCATTGCTGTCTGTCCAGAGAAAGATATCTGGGTAACAAGTTGAAAATTTAGTCCTTACTTCAAAACCAACTTTACATCTAACCTTGGATTTTTATGAAGTCATGAAGATTCCAGGATTATAGTATAATTGCTACTTGACTGCTTCTACAACCTATTATTGTCACAATTTGAGAGGGCTGTAATTCAACGTTTGATTGACAGTTGCAAGAGTTTGTTATAGGTTTATGTGACTTTCGATGTGCAGTTATGAATTCAAATTTTTTTTTTATAAAGGATTAAGAACGCTAGAGAATTTAAATGTATTGAATGGACTTTAATGGATGAGTATTTATTCATGTAGTAAAGTCTGTAATGTATACTTTGAACTTTATTTTGTTTCATCTCAGCAAGGTTTGTGATGCCTGCCCATAGTGGATACGGAGTGAGTTGGCAAGTAGGGTGTGAGGGGATTTGGTAGCCCCTGTAGTTACCTCAGACCTACATCCTGAGGTTGTGGGCCCATACCCACAGAATGGAGATTCCACCATTCATAACCTATTTTCCTGAGATGCATTGGTAAGACAGGAAACTTCCTGATTCTGCCTACCTGCCTCAGGAATGAAAATCCAAGCTCTTCTCACTATTGTCTATGATGTGAAGGTGCCAGTGTTGGACTGGGTGGATAAAGTCAAAAATCATACAACACCAGGTTATAGTCCAACAGGTTTATTTGAAAGCTTTAGGAGTGCAGTGAAAGCTTGTGATTTCAAATGAACCTGTTGGACTATAACCTGGTGTCATGTGATTTTTGACGCAAAGGTCTACTTTACATCTTGTGTAAATAATATAAAATGCAGAACCTAAGTGGAGGTTTTGTGATGTTCCTGCTTTTGCTGTGATGTTGTGTTAATCTTTTCAAAATGTATTTTTTACTTTACTGACAATTTAGGCCTATTTTTCTAGATGGACCTTGATTCACTGCTACCTATGACCATGCCAAGAATAAACTCCTGCAGTTTTTGTAGTAATAGACTCAGGTGTCCTCAGATGTAGAATGTTGCCCTGCTTTAACATGATTAGATCTTTAGTTAAACAAATGCATTGAATGAAAGATGTAATTAAATGTGGAACAACATTCTCTTTCTCATTTTACAATTATGTCTCTATTTAATTTAGCAATAAGTCACATAAGGTCTTAGCTTTCTCTTGATCACTGGCATAAATGCAATTGTTATTTTATATGTTTCTTTTAATGGTTCTATTGCTTCCTTAAAGCAGCAAAGCTTTGGAGCAAAATACCACAGCAATGTCACAAATACTGCTGATTGTATTTAGAACGAAATATCAAATTTTTGCAAGTTTTTTTAACAACAGAAAATAATCTCATCAACATGAGTAAATCTGCAGAATTGATGCATACTTACATTTTATATATCTTTTGATACATATTTTTTATTTGAAATTATTTCTTCTAGTGTCCTTTTAATATAACACAGCCAAGTTGTGGCTTTCTTGGAATGCCTATCCAAATAAACAATGACAGGTGTTGTCCACAGTGGGAGTGTCCCTGTGAGTATTGGTTTCATTTTAATGCTGTACTCTGTTATATGAACAGTTAATATGGTTATTCTTCACATTAAATAAAAATGTTATACAGAATAAAGCAGAAAAGTGTAATTACACAAATTGGATACAAAACTAATAAGTACATTTGTTCCTAATATTGTTTTCACTTGTGTGTTCCACTTGAAATCTTTTTAGAATGCAGAATATTTGATTCTGTTTTGTTCTTTTCTCTGCCTTGTTTCTTTTCCCCCAACTCTTACCACTTCCTTCTGTTCAATTTCCAATTCATTCTGTCTCAAGCATGTACCTATTTTTGTATTATTTAAAACAACAGTCTGGTCTTTTTAGATTTCAATGAGTACACATTTTGATCTTGGCATAATACTGAGCTCTTCTTCCCTTACTTTTGTCTCCACACCCATTTCTTTGGGTAGGAGTTTTTTTGCTGCACAGTGGACCCTTTCTCATATTTGCAGATTTCCCAGCTACACCCTTACGCAGTCTGTTACTCTCTCTATATAAGATCAGAATATAAGAACATAAGAAATAAGAACAAGATTAGGCCCATTGGTCCTTCGAATCTGTTCCTCCATTGAACAAATCTTATGGATATTCTGCCTCAAATCCATCCTCTGACATTATTCCCATATTACTTAATTCCCCTGCTCCTGAAAGTATCTGACAGCCTTTATCTTGAATATATTCAAACCGATCATTGATAAGCCTCTGCAATTGAAAATTCCAAAGATTAACAACCCTTTGACTTAAGAACTTTCTGTTCAACTCATTCGAGTCTATAGCTGTATGAATTTGCAGCATTTCATTATCACTGATCCAATCCTAACATTCCCATTAAATAATAAGGGTGCTGCTCTTCTTGTTTGGCAAACTTGTATTTATGTTCCAAAAGCTGAACCCCAATGGCCGGGCTATAAAGCATTAAGCCTTCATTTCTAAGACTGACATGTATATCATTTCCGGGAATCCTCCTGCTGTAGCTACTATGTTCGTAGTCTATCAATCCTGTACAGTTCCCTTCTACCTCCTCCCCAAGATCCATGCATTAGACTGCCCCAGTAGTCACATCATTTCAGATTGTTCCTCACGTAAGGAACTGATAAAGTCCTGTCTCAACACTATTTTTCCTCCCCTTGTCCAGACCTATCCTGACTACAAAACCGATGCTTCCAACATGTCCACAAATTTAAGTGTTTCCAAATTCTTGGCCTAACCATCTACCTTTCACTGGAGACATCCAATCTTCTGATGTGCCCCTTTCAATCATCAGGCTGCATGAGGCTTCTTGCTTCTTCCTTTCCCATAGCCAGTCTGTATCCGCCACGAACTCCATTATCAGGCTGAGCCTGTTCTTAAAACATGTTGCCATGGGAACATGTATAGGCCCAAGCCATGCATGCATTTTCATGGGATATTTGGAATATTCATTGTTCCTGCCTTCTCAGGCTTTTGCCTTTACTCCTTTCCCTTATACATTGATGTCTATATCAATACTTCTTCCTGCTCTCACTCTGAATTGGAACATGCAAACAATTTCCAATTCTTATCCTTGTGTTCACATGATCTATCTCTGCCATTTTCCTTTTGTTCCTCAGCCTTGCTGTTTCCTTTTCTGGAGTTAGGCCATCAATCAACATTTACTATAAACTCACTGACACCCACAGCTATCTTGACTATGTTGCCTATTCCACCTACTAGATGCAATGCAGCAATGTGCTATGGCTCCCTCAGCACCATCTCTTACCTGTGAACTCCTATATGTTGATGCTGTCCTAGACAAAATATGTCTCCCAATGGAAGGAAATGTCCAAAATGATTTTGTATATTATTTTGTTTCTGTACAAAGTATCATATATTGGGAAGATTTCTTCTGGCTAATTTTCATTATGAAGTACAGATCTGAAAATAATTATTATTTTCTTGTTTAATATCAGGCAGTCTGTAAATGGGCAACTTTTTAAGTAAAAAATTCAATGGTATTCATTATTAAGAATGAAGTATTTGGAAATTTGTGCCCCATTTGGTTATAGTGTCTCCATCTTTGAATACATTTAAAGTTAGGATAAACAAAGTTTTGGTCTCTTAATGAGTTAAGGGGTAGGGGGAGCAGGCAGAAAGCTGGAATCAAAACCCACAGTCAGCTATGACCTTATTAAATGCTATAGCCCACTCAATGGGCCATGTGGTCTACCAGTGCTGCTATTTCTTGTGTTCTTTTGTAGGAAGAGTTCACGCTAACCTTTATATGCAAGAGGCTTAAAAACAATATTTGTCAATACATTCCAGTGCAAATTTCCCTCTAGGGCTGCCTGTTGAACTGCACCTGACAGAGGATAGATACCATGAATTTTCTGCTCTGGCTTCACTTCTGCTTCCATGTGCTGACCTTCCATCTACCTGGGCACCTGCTGAAAAGAAAAGCAGTAAACAAAAAGTGCAGCTGTGAGACCTGGAAGTTACCTCTTGGCCAACAGAATCATAGGATTCTGGCTGATGTCTAAGAGTCCTGAAACCTTATGCTAACCCTTCGCCGGAAGTGATGTAGCACAAGGGTTTGATTTTTGCCTTCTTTTCAATCTCCAATCTTCTGCCACAAGTGATCCAGAGGATCTGACCCCAGCCAAAATATTTGGCTCTTTCAGCCATCCCATGTTTGGAG